CAGGAGGATGTACAGCAGCATCAGAAGCAGCAGCAGAAGTAGCAGCACCAGCTGCAGCAGAAGTAGCATTACTAGGCATTTGATTACCAGCAGTGTAGACAACAACAACAGGAGCAAAATCAACTTGCTGTATGCCTCGATACATGCTGGAGATAACTGTTGTACTGTTGTCCTTACCCTCAACAGATAACTGTCCATTTAGTGCTAGCAGTAGCACACCGATTACACATGTCAGCAGGCAATGCTGGAATATGGTACATCTTAGCATTGGCCGGTATCGTCTTGTTCCTGGAAGAAAACAGATAAGCCATACACATTGAATGATCCCTCGATTATGACGCAATGGCCACACAGTCCGTGGGTACTTAATGCAGACAGCGCGCCGCGCCAGACACTCGGGTCGTCTCATACACAATGGGAAACCAACGAACACGTTATGACTTGGGGCTCCGCTCCCCGTGTGCTAGTTTGTACGTGCAGTGTGTGGGTTACAATGAGGGCTGTGCCCCACCAGTCTGTGTGGATTCACAGGAAGTGTCAGTTTCGAATGTTGAACGGTCTCTGCTGGGATGACGGCTACACGATAGCCCAGTGGTTAGAGCATTGCTGGCCTCAAGCCAAGGTTCCGGGTTTGAGACCTGGTGGTGACAGTCAATTTTTCTTTCAAGACTTTTCCCATTTGCAGCTTTCCCTCAAACCAATGAACATACTACCTCCGACAAGCGAAACTTGGCGCGTTTTTTTACTTCAAATTACTCGAAATAACTTACATTTTACAATCAAAACTAATGACCAAAATCCGACTTTGTATTGCTCAACAAGGACATTAGAGGCATCTGTTTGGCTGAACAACTCTCCTCTGATTCAGAGATCGCAGTTTCTTCTGGAGAGGAATTGTCCCTGTTTTGAGACGAAAGTGCGACTAGAGCGGATTCAGTTGCAGCAAGTACCTCCGTTGTAATCGCTCTGAAAATCTCGATGTCGCTCCTGTGTGCTGTGCTCGAGCCACGGTGTCGAGGGTAGTCGTTTCCGCCGCCACTATTCAGATTGACGTGGTAAGAACTATGCAACAACTCCACAAGCGCCTTGACTCCAACTGTTTTGCAGGGTATTCTCGCCAACTGTCCAAAATTGCCTGCAGCAATTCCTGGCGATTTTCCTTAGCCACCAGAGACGCATCGCTCTGGTGGCTGTTGAAAGACGCTAGGATTGTTTAGCATGGACGCATTGACTCTGTGCTGGCGGAGTGACCAAGAGGAGAGAGAGAGAGAACTCCTTGGTTTTGCATTGCAACGCGAAAGCACGACAATTCTCCTTCGCAGAATGGACGCGCGCACAGTTTTGCTGGTACACGAGAGACACGCTTGCTTCTGACTAAGTCTGAGCCATGTGCCACTCACCAGCTCGTCGCTTGGCTTCCTGCACCCGCTTGCATGGAGCTACAAGTAGGTCGTACCTCACAGCCTTGTGAAGTAGTTTTGGTACCAACACAAAAAATAAAAATAACGCGCCAAGTTTCGCTTGTCGGAGGTAGTACGGCATTATGAAGGTCTTCTTTGTAAGCAATGTCTTTCTGTAATGCAATTAATTTTACTAGCAAACACAGCCCTACTAATAATCAGGGGAAGAGGACAACTGAAAGGACACTGGACAACAAGACAAAGGGGATTATGGGGCGATGTGCCGATGTGGTTGGCGAGACTCATCCGACTGGAGGTCTCGGAATCATAGCCTACGACCAGGCATCAATAGGAATGCAGCTAGGGAGGGAGGGAGATGTATTACTCCGCCACGAGCAGAACACAGGTGCAGAGACACATCAAAGATATTAACACCATGTTCCTTAGGGTGGTTCAGACTGGCGTAAAAAGCAACCGGAATGTGAAAGTTGTCATGGTGAATCGCTCACGTGACGTTCCCGCCAGCGTAAACACGGAAAAGGTTTCCCACCACTGTGCAGGCCGGTGGAATGCAGATTCCGGCGGCACGCGGGAGCACTTTTGATATCCTTGCACCGCATGTTCCGTCTTGTCTTTTGATTTCAGCCTCTACTCTCTGAGCCTGACTGCATGCTTGAGTTTTGAGTTTGGACTTCTAGACTGCCAACTTCTTCCATCATGCCGAAATCTTTGTTCGACTCAGTAATGAAGAGGGAGCTGATGGACCTGTATGTTGTGATTTTTGCAGGCTCTGCAGGCAAAATGTTGACTGCAAACGAGAAGCATAATCTCATCGCTGAGCGGATGAATGCCACCCAAGCACCAAACACTCCGGACATCGTATTCTTTCCGTCGACAAGCACATGCAAAAGCACAATGAGCCAGTATCTCTCCCGACTGAATTAGTTTATTTTGATGTTCAACTCAAACTGAGTCAAATCAAATTTTTCCTATGTCGATTGATTATGTAAAGGTATGTGTCGTACTGGCCATTCCAGCGGGATACACGTGCAGTGTGATTGCGATTCCCGTAATTACCCTGTAGCATTCCGGCGGCTATTCACGCCAGTCTGAACTGATGCTAAATGCACATAATACCCAAAGTCACTATATTGCAGTTCTCATGGCCAATTTTCTTAGTAATGGTAGTGAATAGAGTTCCTATGGCCGAGCACATACAACACGCCATAATAGGTTGCGCACGTGTGAAATTTCTAGTAGTGGGTAGGCCCCCGTGTAATATGCCGGCATTTTCGGTACAATCCGCGAACCCAGCACTTTGGGCTCGTGATGCAGCATTTTGGGGGAAACGGAGCACTTGGCCGTTGTGTATCAAAAGTTGAGAGAAGAAAAACTTCCCAAACAAGAACGTCACTTCCGCATTCCGTGGGTTAGCTTCTTGTTGAGTAGTTTATGAATTGTTTACCATGGCAGACTCGAGCAAGTCTCTTATTGAGTATTTTCTGACTCCCTGCTTTTGACGGCGTGTGCTGAGGATGACAAAAAAGTGAGCATATTCCGAGCATTTTCGGCACGCCGGTTTGGGAGCTTTTTCGGCAAGGTTTACGAGAATTTCCCAAAAGCATTTCGGCAAAGTTTCTGGCATATTACACCGGGGCCTAGTAGTGGGTCGACCCGGCGTCCGCACGGGTGTGAAGAGTAAGGACAGGGAGTTGTAAAAATATCAATATTTTAGTACTCCAAGTGACGAAAAATATTTTCGTCGATCTGCACTGTTTCGGCCACGTTTGGACGGATCTTCGTAGCAACTTACTTTCACTCGAACCCGGACGGTCGAAATCTTACGAAGTTTCGTTGTGCGCAACCTCTCTATTGTCTATTCACTGTCATTCGTAACAAACTTGCAAGCGTGGAGTTTCGAAGAGAATACAGCAATAGGCAGGCCTAAGTTTCTTGTACTTCGAAATTATCCTTGAAGCTTGGTATTAAGCCCTGGACTCTTTTATCAGCGATCGCTGATAAACCACACGTACACACAGTAGAATCCTATCCTACAAGTAAAAAAACACGACGCTGTTTCTATGCTCGCGCGCGTGCCGTAATTTCGCCAAAATAAATCAAGTAACGCATCTCCATGAAACGAAAGAAGTGACAACTTGCTTACCTGTGATACGGAGAGAGCAGGTCAGGTCTGTGCTAACATTATCAAGGCCAGTCCAACCAGCTGAACTTCACGGCTTATTATCGTTCTCCGAACGGCAAAATACTTCAGACAAACGTACCCTTCACTGCACCGCCGCGCCGTCAAGCAGAGCAAAATGTCCGCAACGAATGACTATCATCTCTGACAAACATTATTTTTTGCCTCGCCGCCCCTGCACTCAATCGAGCAGTAGATCTACGCATGCAGAATCAGGTGATATCATGAGGCGTCCATAAACAAGGACTCTTCCCTTGGTATTATTCAATACCTCATCCATTTATGGTCGCCCAAACGCTTTCGCACAGTGATGTCATAAACTGATAGGTCCATAAATATGCAATAATCAAGAGTTCAGACATGGCACGTGCTTGTTGCCAGGAGACGGCAAATGAGCGGCCAGAATAAGCAGTCAAGATCAGTCGATCTTGACCGCTTAGCCGGTCAAGAACAGCAGTCGCACAGCATCGCGCCGCACATGCGCATTTACCATTTTTCGAAGTCCTTGCCTTGGGCAACATCTCCGACGACGAGGACTAAAATTTGTCTCCCTTCTCCAAAATGATTATATACTCACTACTGTCTTGAACGTCTGCAGGGAGACCAGAAACGCCAACCGACCTTGCAGCTGGTCCTGTTTCTCGCGGCGAAACGTACACAAGGGAAGCAGACCTCCACAAGTACATTTTGTACCTGCCCTAAGGCTGCAGCTTCTCAGCACTCGCATTTGAACCTTACTCTGGCAATCATCTAACTCGAAGAATGGGTTTATTCCGAATCCGTCATATTACTGGTACTAACGTTACTACTGCCTTCACTGTACTTGAATACTTTCATCTCAAAACTGGAAAGTTCCGACCGTTGAAACAAATAGCTGTTTGTGATGGTCACTGCACACAATGTGACATCAACTCATTTGCCGTCAATAATACAAGGCTTTCTTTCTGTTTGAATCTCTCTACTGTACTGGGCCTTGTTGTTTGTGAGGTGGGCCTTGTCTGAAGCGCAATCCTACACAGTTGCGTCGGGCATGCCGCTCTGATCAGGCCCTCGGTCATGTGAGTGATCTTGCCCTCGGTCGCGACGCCCTCGGGGCTACGCCCCTTGGGCGTCGCGACCTCGGGCAAGATCACTCACAGACCTCGGGCCTGATCAGAGCATCATGCCCTCGGAACTGTGTAGGATTATGTATTTCATAATGAACTCTTGCCATAATCCGGCTGTAGTAAAATTAATAGTAATCTATGCATATATGGACCATGCATGCATGACTCACGACCACGAGCTGGAAAACTGACGTATGACGTTGTTTGTTTGTTTGTTTGTTTGTTCTGCTTTTATTTTTGGAAATAATTATAGTCGTTCAACCAAACAGGCATGGTGCAGCCCCGGTGCGTTCTCACAAGGAGACGATTTAGAAAAGGAGTGGACAGAAAGAAACTGGGAAGGACGTTGCCAAAATTGATGTGAAATTGCGCATCACCGTCAGAAAAAACGCTCTATCACCAACTTGCACCGCGATACTCGTACTCTTCAAAGCCCATCTCCATGAAAGACTTGGTGGTACGAGTGTTCACAACCATTAGAGCCGTCAGATGCGAAAACCGACCGTATTTTAATATATTTTTGAACTTCATGCTGTTCGTCTTAGTCGGAGCGTCCAGGAGCAAAGGAATCTTGGGTTTTCACTGGAATCTAGTTCCTCCATCATCGTGTAGCCCACCGTCGGCGAATGGCCGTCCAGAAAGGTTGAACATGGTCTTCTGCAGCATCTCGCAGTCCTGCGAGTCACACTGAATATGCCTGTCATGTATTCTACAATTATACCTCACTCCATATACACCCACACTCATATACCAGATCTCCAATGAAGTTTATAAATTCCATATACACTGTTCAATATACACCACTAAGGAGGTATGTACACCACTGAGGAAAACCATCACAAAAAAACCCACTGAGGAGCTTTCTTTCTCTGAAAAGGAGTGTATATAGCTTTCTCTCTAAAGCTATATTCACTCCTTTCTAGGGAAAGAAAGCTATATTCCCTCCTTATTGCTCTGGAGCTTGCGCATGGAGAGGTATAAATACCTCGTGTCTATCGAGAAGTATTGACCAGTTATAAAAACCTCGGCTACGCCTCGGTTTTTATACTGGTCTATATTTCTCGATACACACTCGGTCCCTTGTTATAATATTATACATTGATCACTCCCTTAGTATTGACTCACATAGATTTTTGCCATACCTAAGCAGTCAAATATTCCTGCATATTACACTCCTTAGGGCTATGTTGACCGCTTATATTTGACTCCTTTTTAGCGATTGAACACATGCTTTGGTCAGTCGTGATAAATCTAATAATAATATTGACTTCGCACTTGGTCAGTATAGGAAATAAAAGACCTCGTAAAAGATCTCCGCTTCGCCTCAGTCTTTTACTCGGCTTTTATTTCCTATATTGACCTCGTACTCAGTCAATATTAGATACATAAATCGGTAGTGGACTCTATAGTGATGAGTCTATCCTGTATGCTGTAAAAGACGCAGGAAATGTGACTGGTGTCTGTACACTGGTCGCCAGTATCCCAGTCTTCTCCTGCAGGATCTGTTTGACATTGACATACCGGTATGCAGTGGGTCGACATTGGCCTGGTTTGGCAGCTATCTGCCTGGGTGGATGTAGCAGGTTTGCATTGGCTCGTCGTCCAGTCCGACATTTTTCTTGTAACTGTGGAGTACCGGCAGGGTTTGAGAGGTTGCTCATGCTGTGAACACATCTCCACTGCCTGTCTCGTCCTTGACTGAGTGCCGTCTCGCCGCTTCCTGGCTCTACAGTTATGCTTATTTCGCTTTGTTTCGTGGTGCAGCTCAAAACCTGCCCAAACAACTGTGAGCTCGCAACATGGTATGGACAAATTGCGCCACTCATGCTGGATGACTAAAAGCGGCGAGTAAGCGAGTTTACTCCCTGGGCCATGGCAAGATCTGTTCAGCGCGTGCTATTCCAACATCTAAGTGCATAGTCACCGATCGATCCATGCGATGGTGGTTGACCTACAAAGAGCCAAGGGCTATGACTGAGCACTACTAGTGGATGATGCTGTCTACATGCAGTCAACAAAATTAATCAAAGTACTAGTACCTCAGTATGCCCCAGAATAGGGCATGTGCATCTATAGCACGACACAACAGGGGTTCTGGCGGCACATGTCAAACAAGCAGTAGCGACTAGTGCCAGCTACCTATTAGAGGCTAGCCGCTACAGTCCGTCACTGGAGATAATTATTATGTTCACTGTTTGGACTGAGCAGAATCAATGATGCCCGATCAATCTGCCCAATGTGTGTTCTGTTCCCCCTAATTATACCGTCCCATTGCATCAACCCTACTACACGTACATGTCGTCACTCTTGCATGACTTGTGTTACTATTGTTTATTTTCATCCGTACGATAAATAGAGCACAATAAACGTTAACTTGACCGAAGGATAAATGCGACTGCAGATAGAGGAACACGTCGAGGTACAGGTACCAGCATCAATACAGTATCAGAGAGAAACAAACAAAAATGAGAGGCACGCAGAAAAAACTCGCGTAAGCCCAAGTCTGAAAGGGGAAGTGGTTGATGAGGGATGAATGCACTGTCCACGCTCATCAACACTGTTCGTGGAAATGCACACATACATACAATAATATCCAACACAGCAAGCACAGAACCAAACAATTTCATGTTCACATGCAAGTACAGACTTGAACGTTAGTACCAAAAGCCGATACAGACAATATCCCCATACACACAGACAAACATGCACGCACACGCACACACACACACACACACACACACACACACACACACACACACACACACACACACACACACACACACACACACACACACACATACACACAATGTCCCATGTATGCACCCGTGGCGAGAAAAGCACACAAATCTACAAAAGCACTGGATGTGAACCCACAGATTTTCTCTTATAGCAACGATAGCGGATCTGATTCTGAATGAAACATACACACACACACACACAAACACACACACACACACACACACACACACACACAATACAATAATTCCCACCCGCAGATGATGGCAGGTCCTGAAAGGACAGGCAGTGTTTCAGTCATGGGGAACAGAACTTAGAGTGGCGAGTGAGGTATACACACACAAACACATGTGCGCGCGTGGGCACACACTAAAGTATGCAGAAAAAGAATCGACGTTGTAGTATTCATTGGTTGGGGAATGGAAAGGAAAATAAAACATTGCAGTAGGTTATTGCTGTATGGACACTATGAGCACAACAGAAAGGTAAGCAACTTGCTTTGAAGCAAAGAAAGTTAATTTATTATTCCACGGATCTCAGAAGGAAAGAACGTTCCAGAATGCTGCACTGGCAACAGGCAGACTGCATGTGCGTGGCCCCTGCAGTCAGTCCAGCTGCCGGCCTTGCAGTGCTAAAAAGAACGTGAAGTACAGCATGTCACGTCGTATCGCAGCCTGGAAAAATAGGCGCTGGGAAGTCCTAGTTATATGCTCACCTACACCACAATTCACCAATCTTCTGAGCTACTTTGGCAACAACTTTGTCCACTTGAGACTCCCATGGGCTGAGCCAGTTGTTCAGGGCTGCACCAAGGTGAACGGCAATGACCGCTGATGGCAATGCAATCCATGACACACAGTCACTAGGGCATCGGTAACATGGCGCTGAGGCTGGATCGATAAAATCTGCCTTTAGGCTGGGTCGACAACGAGGCCGCTGTCTTGAAGCTAGTCAGTCAGCCTGGTCACCGACATTGACGAACCAGTCGCCACCGTCAGCAGTGGCGGTAGGTTGTGACAAGTGTGGTGCAATATTGTCAGGAAATTCAGTACTCGGGATAAGATGAGTGACAAAGGGAATGTTGTGTTTGTATAATATTGAAGTGAACAAGGATGATCACAAACCCTGCGCGTGCTCCACCGTGATTTACAAGAAAATTCTGGACTGGACGACGAGCAAACGCCAACCTGCGCAGCTGCTACATCCAACCAGGCAGATACTATTACGATGGCTGCCAAATCAGGTCAATGTCGACCCACTGCATAATGTCA